AATATTACGCGCCAGATTACGGGTGTGCGGCAGGTACGAAAGATACGGATGCTGTTAATATTGCCTCAGTGAAAACACTTTCTGCTTCTGTTAGCGGTGGTTCTATTGGCCCTGTTCGTCGTGTGATGCGCTAAGGATGCTCTGGCACTTGTCTCGACGGATGGCGATGCAACCGCTCCTGGTTCTGCGCAGCGTTTGACGAATGTTGCTAAGGGTACTGTGGCTGAAGGCTCACTGGACGCCGTTAATGGCTCACAACTTTTTGCGACGAATAAGACAATAGCGACAGTCTCTGCTACTGCTTCCTCTTATTTGGGCGGCGGTGCTGATCTTGAGGCTGGCATTGCTCCGAGCTATGTGATCCAGAATAAGACCTATCGCGATCTTGGCTCTGTTGTTGTGCTGTTAGCGGTAGTTGGATGCTGTTGACGGTGATATGGCTACAGCCAATGCCCAACTGGCAGAAACCAATACAAAGCTTGCTGAGACCAATAAACAGCTTTCCGAAACTACGACGAAGCTTTCTGAAGTTTCTGCCTCTGTTAGCGGTGGTTCTGTTGGTCCTGTGCGTCGTGTGATGGCGCTAAGGATGCTCTGGCACTTGTCTCGACGGATGGCGATGCAACCGCTCCTGGTACGCCTCAGCGTTTGACAAATGTTGCATCCGGTAAAGTTGAAGTAGGTTCGACCGATGCCGTTAATGGCTCACACTTTTTGCGACGAATAAGACAATAGCGACAGTCTCTGCTACTGCTTCCTCTTATTTGGGCGGCGGTGCTGATCTTGAGGCTGGCATTGCTCCGAGCTATGTGATCCAGAGTAAGACCTATCGTGATCTTGGCTCTGTTGTTGGTGCTGTTAGCGGTAAGTTGATGCTGTTGACGGTGATATGGCTACAGCCAATGCCCAACTGGCAGAAACCAATACAAAGCTTGCTGAGACCAATAAACAGCTTTCCGAAACTACGACGAAGCTTTCTGAAGTTTCTGCCTCTGTTAGCGGTGGTTCTGTTGGTCCTGTGCGTCGTGTTGATGGCGCTAAGGATGCTCTGGCACTTGTCTCGACGGATGGCGATGCAACCGCTCTGGTACGCCTCAGCGTTTGACAAATGTTGCATCCGGTAAAGTTGAAGTAGGTTCGAACCGATGCCGTTAATGGCTCACAGCTTTTTGCGACGAATAAGACAATAGCGACAGTCTCTGCTACTGCTTCCTCTTATTTGGGCGGTGGTGCTGATCTTGAGGCTGGCATTGCTCCGAGCTATGTGATCCAGAATAAGACCTATCGCGATCTTGGCTCTGTTGTTGGTGCTGTTAGCGGTAAGTTTGATGCTGTTGACGGTGATATGGCTACAGCCAATGCCCAGATATCTGCGACCAATGCGCAGCTTGCTGAGACCAATAAACAGCTTGCTGAAACCGCGACGAAGCTTTCTTCTGTCGCGGCCTCTGTTAGCGGTGGTTCTGTTGGTCCTGTGCGTCGTGTTGATGGCGCTAAGGATGCTCTGGCACTTGTCTCGACGGATGGCGATGCAACCGCTCCTGGTACGCCTCAGCGTTTGACAAATGTTGCATCCGGTAAAGTTGAAGTAGGTTCGACCGATGCCGTTAATGGCTCACAGCTTTTTGCGACGAATAAGACAATAGCGACAGTTTCTGCTACTGCTTCCTCTTATTTGGGCGGTGGTGCTGATCTTGAGGCTGGCATTGCTCCGAGCTATGTGATCCAGAATAAGACCTATCGTGATCTTGGCTCTGTTGTTGGTGCTGTTAGCGGTAAGTTTGATGCTGTTGACGGTGATATGGCTACAGCCAATGCCCAGATATCTGCGACCAATGCGCAGCTTGCTGAGACCAATAAACAGCTTTCCGAAACTGCGACGAAGCTTTCTTCTGTCGCGGCCTCTGTTAGCGGTGGTTCTGTTGGTCCTGTTCGTCGTGTTGATGGCGCTAACGATGTTATGGCACTTGTCTCGACCGATGGCGATGCAACTGCTCCTGTTCTGCGCAGCGTTTGACAAATGTTGCATCCGGTAAAGTTGAAGTAGGTTCGACCGATGCCGTTAATGGCTCACAGCTTTTGCGACGAATAAGACAATAGCGACAGTTTTCTGCTACTGCTTCCTCTTATTTGGGCGGCGGTGCTGATCTTGAGGCTGGCATTGCTCCGAGCTATGTGATCCAGAATAAGACCTATCGTGATCTTGGCTCTGTTGTTGGTGCTGTTAGCGGTAAGTTCGATGCTGTTGACGGTGATATGGCTACAGCCAATGCCCAACTGGCAGAAACCAATACAAAGCTTGCTGAGACCAATAAACAGCTTGCTGAAACTACGACGAAGCTTTCTGAAGTTTCTGCCTCTGTTAGCGGTGGTTCTGTTGTCCTGTTCGTCGTGTTGATGGCGCTAACGATGTTATGGCACTTGTCTCGACCGATGGCGATGCAACTGCTCCTGGTACGCCTCAGCGTTTGACGAATGTTGCATCTGGTTCTGTGTCGGTTGATTCGTTGGACGCCGTTAATGGTGGCCAGCTTTTTGCGACGAATAAGACGATAGCGACAGTTTCTGCTACTGCTTCCTCTTATTTGGGCGGCGGTGCTGATCTTGAGGCTGGCATTGCTCCGAGCTATGTGATCCAGAATAAGACCTATCGTGATCTTGGCTCTGTTGTTGGTGCTGTTAGCGGTAAGTTCGATGCTGTTGACGGTGATATGGCTACAGCCAATGCCCAACTGGCAGAAACCAATACAAAGCTTGCTGAGACCAATAAACAGCTTGCTGAAACTACGACGAAGCTTTCGGAAGTTTCTGCCTCTGTTAGCGGTGGTTCTGTTGGTCCTGTTCGTCGTGTTGATGGCGCTAAGGATGCTCTGGCACTTGTCTCGACGGATGGCGATGCAACCGCTCCTGGTACGCCTCAGCGTTTGACGAATGTTGCATCTGGTTCTGTGTCGGTTGATTCATTGGATGCTGTTAATGGCTCACAGCTTTTTGCGACGAATAAGACGATAGCGACAGTTTCTGCTACTGCTTCCTCTTATTTGGGCGGCGGTGCTGATCTTGAGGCTGGCATTGCTCCGAGCTATGTGATCCAGAATAAGACCTATCGTGATCTTGCTCTGTTGTTGGTGCTGTTAGCGGTAAGTTTGATGCTGTTGACGGTGATATGGCTACAGCCAATGCCCAGATATCTGCGACCAATGCGCAGCTTGCTGAGACCAATAAACAGCTTTCCGAAACTACGACGAAGCTTTCTGAAGTTTCTGCCTCTGTTAGCGGTGGTTCTGTTGGTCCTGTTCGTCGTGTTGATGGCGCTAAGGATGCTCTGGCACTTGTCTCGACGGATGGCGATGCAAGCGCTCCTGGTTCTGCGCAACGTTTGACAAATGTTGCTAAGGGTACTGTGGCTGAAGGCTCACTGGACGCCGTTAATGGTGGCCAGCTTTTGCGACGAATAAGACGATAGCGACAGTTTCTGCTACTGCTTCCTCTTATTTGGGAGGCGGTGCTGATCTTGAGGCTGGCATTGCTCCGAGCTATGTGATCCAGAATAAGACCTATCGCGATCTTGGCTCTGTTGTTGGTGCTGTTAGCGGTAAGTTCGATGCTGTTGACGGTGATATGGCTACAGCCAATGCCCAGATATCTGCGACCAATGCGCAGCTTGCTGATATTGTGTCCTCTGTTAAGGGTGGCTCTGTTGGTCCTGTGCGTCGCCTTAATACGATTGAGGATGTTCTGGCACTTGTCTCATCCGATGGCGATGCAACCGCTCCTGGTTCTGCGCAGCGTTTGACGAATGTTGCATCTGGTAAAGTGGAACTAGGTTCGACCGATGCTATTATGGCGGTCAGCTTTTTGCAACGAATAAGGCAATTTCCTCTTACTTTGGCGGTGGTGCTGATCTTATGAATGGGATTGCTCCGAGCTATGTGATCCAGGGCTCGACCTATCGTGATCTTGGCTCTGCCTTTGTTGCTGTTGACGGTGATATTACTAAAACCAATACAAAGCTTTCTGAGACCAATAAACAGCTTGCTGATATTGTGTCCTCTGTTAAGGGTGGCTCTGTTGGTCCTGTGCGTCGTCTTGATACGATTGAGGATGTTCTGGCACTTGTCTCATCCGATGGTGATGCAACCTCTTTTGGTTCTGCGCAGCGCTTGACGAATGTTGCATCTGGTAAAGTGGAGCTAGGTTCAACCGATGCTATTAATGGCGGTCAGCTTTTTGCAACGAATAAGGCAATTTCCTCTTACTTCGGTGCTGGTGCTGATCTTCTAGCTGGGATTGCTCCAAGCTATGTGATCCAGGGCTCGACCTATAATAATGTTGGCTCTGCTTTTGGTGGGGTTAACAGCGAGTTCGATGCTGTTAAATCTCATCTCAGCAAATTAGATAGTAAAATTGAAAGTAAAGTTGAGGATGCTAAAGCCAATAGTGTGCGATGGAGCGAAGAGAAAAATGCTTTTGACGCCAGCCATAAGGATCAGAATGGTGTTGTGACAGACAGCAAAATTACCGGTATTGCCGATGGTGATATTGCTGAAGGCTCGAAGGACGCCGTTAATGGTGGTCAGCTTTGGGCTGTTAATAAAGAGCTGACGGGTCGTGTTGTTAATGTTGAAGGTACGATAAAAAATGTCCAGGCAGCTCAGGAGAATGCTGTTGTTTATGATCTCGATGATCAGGGTAAGAAAAGCAATAAGATCACGCTGAAGGGTAGCAGTCCTTCAGAACCTGTTGTCATTAGCAATGTTGCCTCTGGTAAAGTTGAAGTAGGTTCAACCGATGCTGTGAATGGGGGTCAGCTTCATGATAGCTTGCGTCAGGCAAAAGAATATACCGATGTTGAGTTAACCAGTAAGCTCGCTGTCATTCGTCAGGCTACAGATGAGAAGTTTAATGGCCTCAATAGGCGCATGGATCAGCTTGGTGCTGAAGTTGCTGACATTCGTGGTGAAGCACGGACAGCAGCTGCGATCGGTCTGGCTGCTTCGACCATGCGTTATGATGACAGGCCAGGCAAGCTGAGTGTTGCGGCGGGTAGTGGCCATTGGAAAGGTAAAAGTGCCTTTACATTTGGTGCTGGTTATACAAGTGAGGGGGGCAGGGTGCGTACCACTTTAAATGGTACCTATGCCGATGACAGTGTGGGTATCGGTGCTGGCCTGAGTATCACTTTGAACTAATGTAATAAATAGAGACGCAATAAGCGCTTTAGCTCTACCTTTTTAAATGAAAGGTAGAGCTTTTTTTTGCGTAAAAGAGTTTTTACAAGGTTTTTTATAATTATTTATACATAATTGCATTTTTTTTGGTACAAAAAAGAAAATTATCTGTTAATATATGATTCACTGTATGATTTAGAGAATTTTACATCAGTGTTTGTTGAGTTTTGTGCGGGCGTAGGGTATTTTTCCGTGTTGTATGCTTTTATTTAGATTTATATTCTATTTTTTAGCTATAAATCATAGTTGCATCCTACCTGGTCTTTTTATGTACCTTTTCCTTTTATGATTTTTTTCATCGTATTTGGGATAGTTATGCTGTTTTTCAAAATTTTTATGGTTTTTGTACCATTTTTCAGAATTTTTTCGATAAGCCGATTTATAGCGCTGTATATATTCTTTCAGAATCTTAAAGATTATGGATGCAAGCGGCTTCTGAGGTATTTTAGCTTCTTATGTTGCGGGGTGCCTCTCATTATAATGCAGGCTTCTGTCGCTCATTCTGCATTGGTTGGGACAGATGCAGGGATAAACACTGTTGGTGCTGGAATAGGTAAGATTGGTGCGAGTTCTGGTGGGATGGGCGCTTCAGCCTCTCAAAATTCTATTGCCCTGGTTGGTGATGGCGATTGTGGCACGCTGGTTTCAGGGCCTTACAGTATAGAGGGTGTCTATGGGACAGGTTCTAATTATTCAGGGGGTGTTTATGGTTTTGGCACTCAAACTAGTGCTGGAAGCTATTCAACGAATGTGAATAGTGGGCGCGGTCAGCCAGGTTGGATTGTCTGGAGTGAAGGACGTCATGGCTTTAGGGCCGGCCAAGTTTCTGAAGGGGAGCTGGGTATTGCGCAGACTCAGGCTTTTGGTGCCAACAGCAATGCTTTTGGTTGTGGTACGCAGGCCAATGGTTGGGGGAGCAATGCTTTAGGTTGGGGTGCCCTTGCTGATGGTGCCAGCTCTCTGGCCTTTGGGACAAGTGCTGATGCGAGGGGCCAGGGTGCGATTGCTTTAGGCCTTGGGGCCAGGGCGATGTCGGAAGATACTGTGGCGCTTGGAAGTTTAGCAAATGCTTCGGCAAGGGGCGGTCTTTCTCTAGGGGCGCTTTCCCAGGCTGCTGGTATGAATTCTGTTGCGATTGGTACGGGTGATGGAACAGCCTATTCCGGTGCGCGGGCTACTTCAATGCATGCGGTAGCAATTGGTCATAAAAGTAGAGCTGATGTGCCGGGAGGGATAGCGCTTGGTTCGGAATCTGTTACGGAATCGCTGGCGGGTGGCAGGGGTTATGATCCAAATACAGGCGATGTTTCCAAGCTAAAGGATTCTACATGGGATAGTACGCGTGGTGCTGTTAGTATTGGCAATAAGAGGGATAATATTACACGCCAGATTACAGGGGTTGCAGCCGGTACAGATGATACGGATGCTGTTAATGTTGCTCAGCTGAAAATGCTTTCGTCCTCTGTTCGCCGCGTTGATCGTCTTAAAGATGTTCTAACGCTTGTCGCGTCTGAAGGTAATTCTGTTTCTCCGGGTTCTGCTCAACGCTTAACGAATGTTGCCGAAGGTTCCATTGCTGAAGGCTCGAAGGATGCTGTTAATGGCAGCCAGCTTTGGACCGTTAATAAAGAGCTTAATGGCCGTGTTGATGCTGTTGGCACAAGCAGTTCGCTCTATTTTGGTGGTGGTGCTGATGTTTTGGCTGGGATTGCTCCAAGCTATGTGATCCAGGGCGCGGAATATCGTGATGTTGGCTCGGCCTTTGTTGGGGTTGATACGGCGTTAAATGCTGTTCATACGAATCTGGGTGGTGTCCATACGAGCTTGGTAGATTTGGAAGCACGTCTTGGTTCGATGAGTACGGGCATTGGCACCTGGGATGCTGAGAAGGGTGCGGTTGATATGACGCGCACGGATCAGGATGGTGTTGTGACCGACAGCAAGCTTACGGGTGTTGCCGAAGGTTCCATTGCTGAAGGCTCGAAGGATGCCGTTAATGGTGGTCAGCTTTGGACCGTTAATAAAGAGCTTAATGGCCGTGTTGATGCTGTTGGCACAAGCAGTTCGCTCTATTTTGGTGGTGGTGCTGATGTTTTGGCTGGGATTGCTCCAAGCTATGTGATCCAGGGTGCGGAATATCGTGATGTTGGCTCTGCCTTTGTTGGGGTTGATACGGCGTTAAATGCTGTTCATACGAATCTGGGTGGTGTCCATACGAGCTTGGTAGATTTGGAAGCACGTCTTGGTTCGATGAGTACGGGCATTGGCACCTGGGATGCTGAGAAGGGTGCGGTTGATATGGCGCGCACGGATCAGGATGGTGTTGTGACCGACAGCAAGCTTACGGGTGTTGCCGAAGGTTCCATTGCTGAAGGCTCGAAGGATGCCGTTAATGGCAGCCAGCTTTGGACCGTTAATAAAGAGCTTAATGGCCGTGTTGATGCTGTTGGCACAAGCAGCTCGCTCTATTTTGGTGGTGGTGCTGATGTTTTGGCTGGGATTGCTCCAAGCTATGTGATCCAGGCGCGGAATATCGTGATGTTGGCTCTGCCTTTGTTGGGGTTGATACGGCGTTAAATGCTGTTCATACGAATCTGGGTGGTGTCCATACGAGCTTGGTAGATTTGGAAGCACGTCTTGGTTCGATGAGTACGGGCATTGGCACCTGGGATGCTGAGAAGGGTGCGGTTGATATGACGCGCACGGATCAGGATGGTGTTGTGACCGACAGCAAGCTTACAGGTGTTGCCGAAGGTTCTATTGCTGAAGGCTCGAAGGATGCCGTTAATGGCAGCCAGCTTTGGGTGGTTCAGGAAGATGTCAAAGGTCTGAATGGCCGTGTTGATGCTGTTGGCACAAGCAGTTCGCTCTATTTTGGTGGTGGTGCTGATGTTTTGGCTGGGATTGCTCCAAGCTATGTGATCCAGGGTGCGGAATATCGTGATGTTGGCTCTGCCTTTGTTGGGGTTGATACGGCGTTAAATGCTGTTCATACGAATCTGGGTGGTGTTCATACGAGCTTGGTAGATTTGGAAGCACGTCTTGGTTCGATGAGTACGGGCATTGGCACCTGGGATGCTGAGAAGGGTGCGGTTGATATGACGCGCACGGATCAGGATGGTGTTGTGACCGACAGCAAGCTTACAGGTGTTGCCGAAGGTTCTATTGCTGAAGGCTCGAAGGATGCCGTTAATGGCAGCCAGCTTTGGGTGGTTCAGGAAGATGTCAAAGGTCTGAATGGCCGTGTTGATGCTGTTGGCACAAGCAGTTCGCTCTATTTTGGTGGTGGTGCTGATGTTTTGGCTGGGATTGCTCCAAGCTATGTGATCCAGGGTGCGGAATATCGTGATGTTGGCTCTGCCTTTGTTGGGGTTGATACGGCGTTAAATGCTGTTCATACGAATCTGGGTGGTGTTCATACGAGCTTGGTAGATTTGGAAGCACGTCTTGGTTCGATGAGTACGGGCATTGGCACCTGGGATGCTGAGAAGGGTGCGGTTGATATGACGCGCACGGATCAGGATGGTGTTGTGACCGACAGCAAGCTTACAGGTGTTGCCGAAGGTTCTATTGCTGAAGGCTCGAAGGATGCCGTTAATGGCAGCCAGCTTTGGGTGGTTCAGGAAGATGTCAAAGGTCTGAATGGCCGTGTTGATGCTGTTGGCACAAGCAGTTCGCTCTATTTTGGTGGTGGTGCTGATGTTTTGGCTGGGATTGCTCCAAGCTATGTGATCCAGGGTGCGGAATATCGTGATGTTGGCTCTGCCTTTGTTGGGGTTGATACGGCGTTAAATGCTGTTCATACGAATCTGGGTGGTGTCCATACGAGCTTGGTAGATTGGAAGCACGTCTTGGTTCGATGAGTACGGGCATTGGCACCTGGGATGCTGAGAAGGGTGCGGTTGATATGGCGCGCACGGATCAGGATGGTGTTGTGACCGACAGCAAGCTTACGGGTGTTGCCGAAGGTTCTATTGCTGAAGGCTCGAAGGATGCCGTTAATGGCAGCCAGCTTTGGACCGTTAATAAAGAGCTTAATGGCCGTGTTGATGCTGTTGGCACAAGCAGTTCGCTCTATTTTGGTGGTGGTGCTGATGTTTTGGCTGGGATTGCTCCAAGCTATGTGATCCAGGGCGCGGAATATCGTGATGTTGGCTCTGCCTTTGTTGGGGTTGATACGGCGTTAAATGCTGTTCATACGAATCTGGGTGGTGTTCATACGAGCTTGGTAGATTTGGAAGCACGTCTTGGTTCGATGAGTACGGGCATTGGCACCTGGGATGCTGAGAAGGGTGCGGTTGATATGACGCGCACGGATCAGGATGGTGTTGTGACCGACAGCAAGCTTACGGGTGTTGCCGAAGGTTCCATTGCTGAAGGCTCGAAGGATGCCGTTAATGGTGGTCAGCTTGCAGCGACAAATAAGACGATAGAGACAGTTTCTGCTGCTGCTTCCTCTTATTTTGGTGGTGGTGCTGATGTTTTGGCTGGATTGCTCCAAGCTATGTGATCCAGGGCGCGGAATATCGTGATGTTGGCTCGGCCTTTGTTGCGGTCAGCAGCAAGCTTGATGCTGTTGAATCTGGCCTCAGCAATTTGGATAGTAAATTTGACAGTAAATTTGAGGGTGCTAAAGCCAATAGTGTGCAATGGAATCAAGAGAAAAACGCTTTTGATGTCAGCCGCACGGATCAGGATGGTGTTGTGACCGACAGCAAGCTTACGGGCGTTGCGGCTGGTTCCATTGCTGAAGGCTCGAAGGATGCCGTTAATGGCAGCCAGATTGCCGCGACGCATAAGACGATTTCATCTTACTTTGGTGGTGGTGCTGATGTTTTGGCTGGGATTGCTCCGAGCTATGTGATTCAGGCTTCGATCTATCGCGATGTTGGCTCTGCCTTTGGTGCGGTTGATACGGCGTTAAATACTGTTCATACGAATCTGGGTGGCGTCCAAACGGGCTTGGCAGATTTGGAAACACGTCTTAGCAATTTGGATAGTAAAGTTGACAGTAAATTTGAGGGTGCTAAAGCCAATAGTGTGCGATGGAGCGAAGAGAAAAACGCTTTTGATGTCAGCCGCACGGATCAGGATGGTGTTGTGACCAACAGCAAGCTTACGGGCGTTGCGGCTGGTTCCATTGCTGAAGGCTCGAATGATGCCGTTAATGGTGGTCAGCTTTGGGCTGTTAATAAAGAGCTGACGGGTCGTGTTGTTAATGTTGAAGGTACGATAAAAAATGTCCAGGCAGCTCAGGAGAATGCTGTTGCTTATGATGTCGATGATCACGGTAAGAAAAGCAATAAGATCACGCTGAAGGGTAGCAGTCCTTCAGAACCTGTTGTCATTAGCAATGTTGCCCCTGGCACAATTGAGGCAGGCTCAACCGATGCTGTGAATGGGGGTCAGCTTCATGATGGCTTGCGTGATGTAAGAGAATATACCGATATTGCGTTAAGCAGCCAGCTTTCTGTAATTAATCAGGTTACGGATGAAAAATTTCAGGGGCTCAACAAACGTATAGATCAGCTTGGCGCTGAGATTTCTGACATTCGTGGCGAAGCACGTACGGCAGCTGCGATTGGCCTGGCGGCTTCGACAATGCGTTATGTTGATGTCCCAGGTAGAGTAAGCGTTGCAGCGGGCGTTGCTTATTGGAAGAATAAAGGTGCTTTTACATTTGGTGCCAGCTATACGAGTACAGGCGGCAAGGTTCGCACCACTTTAAATGGTGCCTATGCCGATGACAGTGTGGGTGTTGGTGCTGGCGTGAGCTTTGTCTTGGATTAATTTCACTGGACTAATTTCATTGGACTGATTTAATAAGTTGATTTTTGCAATTTAATTGGATAGTTCTATAGACTTTATAATAGTAGATATTGTAATAGTAGACTTTATAGTATGCGTTAAGCTAGAATTCATTTTGTGAAAAACATGTTATTTAGTGCCTATCACAGAATGAATTCTTTCGTAAAATCTCTTCTGGCTTATTTTGTACGCGTAGGGGCGTTGAGTGTGTTGAACTGCATTATGTAGTGCCACTCAGCTTTTTGCTTTTTTTCCTATAGTTTTGATATCGCGTTGGGGATGTCATGTGGCTTTTTGCGATTAATAGGTTGTTTGTACCCTTTTTTAGGCGACGTTTCGATAGTAAGCGCATTTTGAATTTGTTCCATTTATTATGTTTGGCGCTTATTTTCATTTTACTACAGAATTCTGTTGCTCGTTCTGAGATGAACGGAATGCGTGCTGTCACGATTCCAGATAAACATCAATATGATATCTATGGATTTAAACAGAGGGAAGCATTGGATCTATTTCCTTTAGAACCAGAGTTTAGCGAGACTATTCCATCACCAGAATTTAGCGAGACTATTCCATTATCAGAGCTTAACGAGACTATTCCATTATCAGAGCTTAACGAGACTATTCCATTAGATGTGTTCGAGATCAAGATGGGAGAAATTATAAAAGAAGTTGAAAAACGATTTCTGCAAATGGAAAGAAGGTTTGGAGAGTATCTCGCGCAGTTACAGGATCGTTTTGCCAAATTAGATGATTATATAGCCAGGTTGGAAGCGCAAGCAGTTGCGCATGATACAGCTGCTGAGGATAACAAAGCGCATAAAATTACGTCTAAGGTTGGAGATGATGCCTCGTCTGTTGGCGGTGCGAATAGTGCACAGGGCAAGATTGATCGTGATGAAGCAGAAACTTTGGATCTTGTCAGTAGGGATCAATTGCATGACTATGTGCATGGCTATGTTGAAGAACAGTTTGCTGCTGGCCAGCGGTCTATGGCGTTGGCATTTGATCAGGTCAAGGGAGATATTGGGAGATTGGACAAACAATTTACTTCTATGGATGGTCGTGTCACGAAACTAAGCAAAATGGTTAATCAGCTTCAAGAGACATTATTGATGTTCGTGAAGAGGCCTATAAAGCTGCAGCTATTGGTTTGGCAGCCTCTGGTCTTCGTTATGACGACAGACCAGGTAAGTTGAGTATTACAATGAGCAGTGGTCACTGGCAGGGCAAAACAGCCATTGCCTTCGGTGCCGGTTATGTTGATGAAGGCGGTAGATTCCGCTCCAATCTGGCAGGGACCTATATAAAAGGCGGCTTTGGTGTCAATGTTGGAATGAGCCTAACCCTTAATTGATGATAATGGGGCCGCTTTTTCTGTTGCATAAGTTTGTTTTACACAGGGAATTAAGGTGGGGTTGGGTATTTTTTGAAAAGTTTTATTTACGATCTTCGTCTTGCATTGACAACCTTTGATTGTTTAGTATAATAAATTCTATTATAGATTGTATTGTGTTTTGCAATCATTGTTGAGTATGCGTGGCGTTTGAGGATTGTAAATGTTCCGGTGTAAGAGTTCTGTGAGTTTTCTAGATTCTACCATGGTTTTGAATCTTCCTCTGGTTTTTCTTTTCCTGGGGAGGATGTGGCATCCTCTTTCAGCTATCAGCCTTTGGGGACAGTTCCGCTGAAGGGGCTTCCTTCGGGCCGATCTTCAAGGTTACGTTTACGGCTTTTGGGTGCTGTTAGCCTTTTCCCTATTCTATTGACCATGTCTGTTTCTACTGGCTATGCGGCTGTTGTGGCAACCGATACGGGCGTGACGGTTGCAGCGAGTGGCACAGCGACACGAACAGCGAGCTCGGGTGGCCGTGGTTCTTCTGCATCAGCAAACTCTCTTGCTATGGTTGGGGATGGCGATTGTAGCCGGTTAACCGCTGGTACGCTTACGATCGCTGGCGTTTATGGTACGGGTGCTGATCATACAGGGGGTATTTATGGCTTTGGTGTTCAAACGACAGCTCGGGCTTATGGTAACCCGGTTAATCAGGGGCCTGGGCAGACTGCTGGATGGGATGTCTACGGATCTCGTACGAATGGCAATGTTTCTCAAGGTGGCAATGGGGTCACGCAGACACAGGCTTGGGGTGCGAATACGACGGCTATTGGTTGTGATGCAATTGCCAATGGCTGGGCCGCGAATGCCTATGGTTGGGGTGCTTCAGCGACAGGCGCGGGTTCGGTAGGGCTTGGGGTCTATGCGTCAGCTTCTGGTCAGGGTTCCTTTGCGGCGGGTATTGGTGCCAAGACGGATGGTACGACGAATATTGCTGCTGAATAGTATCGCGATGGGAAGTTTGGCGACGACGACAGGAAGAGCAAATATTGCTATTGGTGCGATTACCCAGGCTGGGGGTGGTAATTCCGTAGCGATTGGTGCGGGTGATGGAACAGCGGCTTCCGGTGCGCTTGTTTCAGAAGCGAATGGTGTGGCCATTGGTCTGAAGAGCAAGGTCAGTGTTATGGGTGGGGTAGCTGTTGGTGAGGGTGCTGTTGCGGCCGTTGCCAGTGGGACAGCGGGCTATGATCCTGGAACAGGCGGGGGAACCAGCCAGAGTGGGGCGCACTGGACAGCAACGAGAGGACAGGTCAGTGTGGGTGATGGAGCAGGCGGCGTAACACGTCAAATTACTGCTGTGGCTGCCGGTACAGACGATTCTGATATGGCCAACATTGCTCAGTTTAAGATCCAAGCGGCTGATGTAAAAAGTGAGATAGAACCTCTGTCGAATATATCAACCTATTGGGAGGGGGTGCGAATGTGCATACATCCACGCCGCCACGATATGTCATTCAGCAGCAAACACGCAATAGCGCGGGGCCGCTCTGCAAGATATTGATGCTAATCTTACGACGGCCACAAACCAATGTTAGGCAATTGCAGGACGG